AAATCAATCTAAAAAGAAGGAGAAATGAAATAGGGCGAAAAAGGGTAAGCTACACCGGCGGTGAGAAGAAAGAGTACCGTGACTTTGTCGTCGGTGAAGGGGAGCGCCTTGAGAATGTTGACAATCTGGGCACCGGAGAAGACGCGCGTGTCGTTGGCCACGGACTTCTGCAGCAGGGCCATCTTCTCGCTCGAGAGGCCCAGGTCGTTCATCGCCTGCACCAGAGCCTGCGCGTGTGACCCAAAGTCATGGGGCGTTCGGAGTTTTTTTTAGTAAAAAAAAATGAAAACGACAAAGAGCGGGGGGGGAAAGAGAGAAGAGTGGTGGGTGGGGGGTACCTGAACCCAGGCATCGGGGCGGACGTCGCTCTGGGGACACGCCTGCTGCTGGGCATTGGCCGCGGAGGGCGCCAGGAGCAGCACGGCGACGAGAGCGAACAGCACGGTAAAGCCGATCAGGGACTGGGTGCGGGCCATGGCTGGTGTGTTCGGTGGGTGGGAACAAAGAACAAAGAAGAAGTGCCTGGAGCCGGAAGAAATACAGGACAAGTCTAAACTGGCGATTGGCGCACTGCTTCCGAGTTTCGGGGCCGTCAGACCAACCAAGCAATGGGTGACTGTGTTATCCTCCGGGAAAAGTGTGATGCCCATTTATTGTTTGTCCGCCCCACGGCAGGAAAACCCAAACGCACAATGGCCCAGAAGATCTCTTTCTTAAAATGAACAGATGGCATAGGTGCCTCCATGCCTACTCCTCTGCCATGAAACCCCCATCTTCTCAAATGGTGGTGATGTCCCAAAGCCAATAGGAATAACCTTCACATTTGTTCAGATGAGTGATTACAACGAATCTTGGGCAAGGTCCTTGGTTTTGCAAGGTTAGGAGCTGCCCATGTAGCACCAGCATGGTCATACCATCTTACTGGTGGTGGAAACCCAAGGGGGAGTGGTGCGCACCAGAAACACAAAGAAAACTATTTTCTTTCGCCTCTGGCGTAGCCCCACATGCTAGCCAGGAAAAAAGCACAGGTGCAACAAATTGGACCAATCAAATCACTCCCTTTTCAGTTTTAATTCGGCCAGCGACCAATCAACAAGGGTTCGGTTCTTCACAGACTTCCCTTCACCATGTCTCGGCGACCACCCCACACAGAAAGCCAAACTTCTTCTTTCTTCTTGACTTGTCTAAGGTCCATTACTCCTGCCCAGCCCAGCCACTCCCCCCTTGTACTATCACCACACCACACAGACCCAAGGTCGTCATCACCATCATGAACCGTTCCAGCCTTGTCTCACCAGTCCTGATCTGGCTACCTGGCCTGATCGTTCTGGTGCTGTTGGCCCTGACCACCACCCCGACGGCCGTGCACGGCTTCGGCTTGAGCTGCACGGCCAACAGCACGGGCGATTGGGACGTGGCTGCCACCTGGGTCAACTGCAATGACTCCACGCCGGGCGTGGGCGACAGAGCGAACATCGCCGCGGCTGAGGCCTACGTGGTCTCCATCCCGGCAGGCGTCAAGGTCAACGTGCAGGGCGTCTTCATCGCCAACTTTGGCCGTCTCAGCAACAAAGGTACACAACATTTTTGCCTCGAGCTAAAATTATATTTCTTGTCTTCTTTAACTGATCATCTTTTTCTTTTTTCATAATCATTTCATTACCCATCCAAGGCGCCCTGCGTGCGGTTTGGATCGAGGTAAACTCTGGCGCCCTGCGCTCGACGGGCTCGCTCGAGTTAGTGGACACCGACAGAAACAACGCCTATCTGTACTGCCGATATGGGAGTGTCGAGATCTCTGGCGACCTCACCATCACCAGCCTTTCCCAAGGTGTTCCCCCAGCCCAAAAGTCTTTTAATTCACATCTGTGTAGTGGCCATTGTACTAATTCCTCTACTCTATATTTGTACACTTAAATTTATTTCATAATCTGCCTGTTTTGATTATTGGTCCAATCTAATTTTTGTCTTTAACTCTTTCTTTTTATGTGATGTGCGTGCAGCCTCTCTGGAAGTGTTCGAGAGCGAGGCCACGTTTGGCGGGTCGATCAATGTCACCGCGGGCCAGTACGCCCAGGCCTACGCGGCTGTGCTTTCCAACTCGCGCGTGAGCGTGGCGGGCGACGTCACCGTGCTCGGCGGTTGCTACAACGAAAAGAAGCGTGAGACCAACAACGAGAATGACGACTCCGTCGTGGAGGGAGGCGAGAAGAAGAAGAAGAAGAAGCGTGGCTTCAGCCTTGATGGCTCTGGCCTGGCCGTGGACTACGACTCCTTCCTCCAGGTCCGTTCCTTCGCCCGTGGCCTCCTCCACAACCACTTCCTTCCATGAGGACCCACTATGAGCTTCATGGTGTG